TTCGTGACGGATAGACTGTCCCGTACGGTTTTGTAGTTTGTAGATGCAGGTTCCGCTCAACTTCTTTGTATCTTTCTAGCAAATCAGACTGCCTCTGCGTCGGATACTCAGGGACAATGACTGCACTGGACAACTGCTCGTGGTCGTTTAGCAGGGTGTTAGCGGTAGGGGTGGGTGATGGTCGGTGACTTCGAATCCAGTTCAGGTAAGCCATTGAAATTTCGGTTGGAAGAGTGTTCTTGGAAACATCCGCATAGGGATCTGTTAGGTTGGCATAACAGGAGCCTATGAGGGTACACAAGCAGATCCAACTAAAATTCAGCTTCTGACTCAACAAAGAGGGCTTGGTCGATTCATACAGCCGTTGGCTTAGCCTAAAATTTGAATAAGGAAAAAACCACATTGTCAATATAGTCGGAAATGTCAATTGAAAAGAAGGGAAACTCACTTTGTGTAAGTGCATAAACATCTTTAAAAAAAATATTATTTTCAGTCTATCGTAACTTCTTCGCCTCTTACTGTAGCGGTGGCACTCTCAGCGAGTATGCCTACGATCGTAAAAAATGGTCTGACTAACCATTGTGTTTAGATTAGGCGGCATTTCAAACGGAACCGCCCTTAAAGGTCATGGTCCGAAGCCATCACTGCTGAAGTCAGCACTGCTCCCGAATAAAGGGTTTTCCCTGCACGTTATCCGCAAGTTATCATTGCTGAAGTCAGCACTTATGCCGAATAAGGGGGTTTTCCCTGCAAGAGAATGAACCGTGGCACGGTAAACACCTTTAAATCTTATCAATGAGAAAGGACGGAGAAGAAAGAAAACGTTTCGCTGGGACAGGCTTTCGTATTGTGCAGGAAAGCAAACAGTTACCCTGGGAACATAAGCAGAACAAATACCGGTCTGCTTTCAAAGCCCTGTTTTTCATAGAATATGAATTGACTTCATTCGTGATTGGTGGAAAGGGAGTACTGATAGTGACAGCATCCATTAAAATCCGCACAAACATGCAAATGTTTTCGTCGTTCATACTGCATAGAAAGCAGCAGCTTAACTGTCATTTAAAGCAGATGTGGGGAGTAGAATTCATTGAATCCGATAAATTCCTCTTGGCTCTTTAAATGGAACCCGGTACTGCATCGCATTCAGTTCGACTGTCGGTTTTGACGAGGTCCATCAAGTCCTTCAAGCAGGGTGATGCGGGGAGGGTGGCTTGCAGAGCACTGTAGTGAGAGTAGACACGCTCTGTTGCATCCCCCAATAAATGAATTCACTCATGTAATGTCGCTGTTGTCATGTTATTGGGTAAGTTAACATAACTTTGATCACGTTTTTTTAATTTATTGAGTAGACTCGTGGATGAGAACCCTTTTTCCCGATAATTACGGCGTTTAAATCTGGAAAGAAAACCGAATAGATATGAACGAAACTAGATTTTTCTGATTTTCAGAGAATATGCCATGTTTTTTTAATATTATAGAACAAAATATCGCATTTTGCGTATTGTGTATTAAAAAACTCATTATGCTTAAGGCAAGTGGTAAATAAATCGATTCTAGGACCGATAAATTCAATTTTGCATGAACTCTAATCAACTGAAGGGAACTTAATATTTGCATTTTGTTTTCTGGAAACAAGGAAGTGACCTAGATTTAGAATTTGCAAATTTCCGAGATATTTTGTCAGCACACGCAGTCATCAACATACTAACCGAAACTCAGGTCCACAATCAAACCTACTTTCATGTTGGTGTGGATGGGCGGCCCATTAGTAACAAATAGGGAGAGAAACGTTAAGGGACCAAAGGGTCAGATACTAGTCATAATTTGGGGGAGAGGGAGATAATTGCTAAGTGTAGGGGTCCAGGTAATGGTTATGCCTAGATCACTACAAT